ACTCCTCAGGGCATTCCTCAACTCAGCAGTCTTGCTTCATTCACTCAGGAAGGCAACCCTGAAAGCGCTACCTCTGACTGACAGAGAAGAGGATGACAGGACACTTGGTTTCCCCATTTACATGAAGCTTCTGATGAAGGAAGGACCCACTCCCCACTGCGAAACTACCATTTCCCCCAGACCCTCCTCATTAGCCACTGAGGGCATATGTCATTGTCAACTGGACACTCAGGTGAGAAATAGCCAGTGAGTGAATAGCAGTGGCTGCCATAGGGGCACGGTGTGGAGTCACAGAAGGCACACACATCTGTCTCTGGCCCAGCCATTTGGACCCAAGCCTGGGAAGCCTTTTTGTCCACCTGGTCCATGGGAATCCCCCGGGACACGCCCTCCCCTTGGAGGTGTTGCAAAAACAGAAGTAAAAGCACAGTCCTGGCTTTCTTAGAGCACAGTGGGCTGGTCTCGGAAAGAGAGGACTCCCTAACCATCCCATCCCCTCATTAGTGCCAGCAGGATGAGCCCTCACGGAAGCAGGAGACTGGCTAACGTTGCCAGCTGGACAGCCCAGCCAACACCACTATACCCTATGACCAGAGACTCCTGTACTTCAAACTGGACCCCCCGCCCCCACTTGCCCATAGGCCACACAGGTCCCTCTTCCTGTTAGTCCAGAACATCTAAATCATTACGTGAGAAACTAACAAAACCACATCCTGCCCAGTCCCCCTTCCCTCTCAGTCCTCCTCTCTTTCCAGACCCCCAGCCTCCACTCTACCTTGGTCATCAGTTCCCTGCTGAGTGACTTGTCTTGGCTTTGGAGCTTCTTAAATTTTTTGTAGCTCTTCCTGAGAAGAGACAAAAGAAAAAAGAGAAATTTAGGAATAACGTGGGGATTTGAGTGCAAGTCCCTTTTATTTCAGAACCAAAAGCTTCATCTGAATGAGTATTTTCGCTGGGTTCCTTTGTGCACTAAGGTCTCCTTGTGACTGGGGAGGGGGGCTTTCATGCTGGTCACCTGAGGCCTCTATTCACATTTGTATTAAGCTTCTCTGTGTTGCCTAGTTTTGGTTTTCTCTGGGCATAGGGTTCAGTTGCTGTAAACACTTGAAAGTCTCCAACTTAAATCAACCCAGTATCTGACATATAAAGAAACGGATTCCTGAAGCCGAACTGGTGGACTGAGGACCCAGAGAGGCTAAAGACCCCAACATCAGCCCAGTCTCTGTCCTCAGGGTTTGCGGCCTCCCAGGAGTTCCCAGCAGACTGATGGGGCAACGACAGACGTATGAGAGATCCCTAATCCATCCTGGTCCAATCTGTGGAGAGAAGCCTATCTACCTGGAAACCTTCTGCCATGTCTTCTTCAGACGGCAAATCGAGGCGTTCTGCAGAGCAAAGAGGATGGCATGCAAAGAGGAGTAGTTCTTCAGAATTTGGCACTCCTGGGGAGGAAAGAGGATGAGCTGTGAGGTGGGGAGCTAGAGCCCTATTTGCTCTAGTTTCAACCCCCTCAGTTTAAAACTCCCCTCTCCTCCCCTCCCAGATGAGATGGAGCCCTGGAAGTGCACATTTAGGGCCAGAAGAGTAACACTCAGAGGGAGGAGGATTTTTTTTGGGGGGGGGTGCTGTTTATTGTTATGTTAATCACCATGCATCACATCATTAGTTTTTGATGTAGTGTTCCATAATTCATTGTTTGGGCATAACACCCAGGGCTCCATGCAGAACGTGGCCTCTTTAATACCCATCACCAGGCTAACCCATCCTCCCAGCCCCCTCCCCTCTAGAACCCTCAGTTTGTTTTCCAGAGTCCATCATCTCTCATGGTTCGTCTCCCCCTCCGATGTCCCCCCCCTTCATTCTTCCCCTCCTACTATTGTCTCCTTCTTCTTTTTCTTTTTCTTAACATATATTGCATTATTTGTTTCAGAGGTACAGATCTGTGATTCAACAGCCTTGCACAATTCACAGCACCCACCATAGCACATACCCTCCCCAATGTCTATCACCCAGCCACCCCATCTCTCCCACCCCACCCTCCACTCCAGCAACCCTCAGTTTGTTTCCTGAGATTAAGAATTCCTCATATCAGTGAGGTCATATGACACATGTCTTCCTCTGATTGACTTATTTCGCTCAGCGTAACACTCTCCAGTTCCCTCCACGTCGTTGCAAATGGCAAGATCTCATTCCTTTTGATGGCTGCATAATATCCCATTGTATATACATACCACATCTTCTTTATCCATTCATCGGTCGATGGACATCTTGGCTCTTTCCACAGTTTGGCTATTATGGACATTGCTGCCATAAACATCGGGGTGCAAGTACCCCTTTGGATCCCTACATTTGTATCTTTGGGGTAAATGCCCAGTAGTGCAATTGCTGGATCGTATGGTAGCTCTGTTTTCAACTTTTTGAGGAACCTCCTTACTGTTTTTTCCAGAGTGGTTGCACCAACTTGCATTCCCACCAACAGTGTAGGAGGGTTCCCCTTTCAGGGAGGAGGATTTTGCTTAATTCAAAGAAGAAGCCAAGTAGGAAGGCCACCACCAGGACATGTGAGTCAAAGTCAGTGTGCCTCTGGCAAGAAAGGCCTATGGACTCTGGAGGGGCTCAGACCATAGAACTGAGAAGGTGAAGAGGCAGTTCCCCAGGATCCAGAGTGGGACTCCACTGGAACTCCCCCAGCATACCTGGGCCACATGGATCCAGTGCTCCACTACCCTGGCCCTGTCCTGGGCAGTCATGCTCAGGTCCCCAAGGCAGGTGGTGAGGACACAGCTGGTCACACTTTGGAAATGCGTGATGGTGGCACGGACTGTGGGTGCCAGGTGCTCATTGCCAGGCTTGTTCCTCTTGGACCAGGTGGAGCCCAGGCAATGACTGGGCACCACCTTCTTGAATAGCTCCTGGGGACCAAGGAGAGTGTCACCTGGCACTGCCACAGCCCAGCTCAGTGTCCACAGTCCCCCACAGGCCCAGGCAGGAGTCACTGGTCAGACCTGGAGCTCAGGAAGCTGAGGAAATGTCTGAGCCTTGTGGAGGTCCCCAGGATTTGTTCTCTGTCTACTGAGGGCATACAGCATGGGATGACTCAGGACCCAATACTGGTGGGGAAGGAAGGATTCATTTGCCTCCAGTCCATCCTCACTAACTCTAAGATTCCAGAAGCTGGCTCAAGTTGATTCTTCCCAAGGGGGCATCTTTCACCCATCCTGACCACCCTCTGCTCTTTCTACTGAGATGCGTATTCTCCTGTAACAGCTACAACCATGGCCTTGTTTGTCCCCCTTCGAATTAAGTACACATCAGGTGTCTAATAAGTGCTGAGGCTGCTGGGCCTCCTGGGCAGATGGGTGCCAACCCATGGACCTGGCTGCACACAGTGAGTGTTCCTTCCCCACCAACTGGGCTGGGCCCTACCCAGCTTTCTATCTGTTCTACCCCATTTAATCTGCACAGTCAATATCTTTGCAGCAGGTGCTATTGGTGTCCATCTCTACTCACTACGGTGGATAGCAAAGGCTCAGAGGCTAAGAAAGTTACCCAAGTCACACAAATGGCAAGTGGTGGGACTGGGATTTGGACCCACGTCATAAGAGTCCAGATCAGGAAAAGGCAGGTCTGGGGCAACTGATGGCAGAGGGAATCCCTCCCCCCACCCCCTGACAAGAAACCAGCTGCTCACCGCATCTACTATTGTTAATTGTTCTGCCACCAGCTGGGGAGGGAAGGCCATGAGCTCACGCTTCTCCTCAGCTGGACTGTTCTCGCTGGTCACATGCCAGGGGCACGAGGCCTCTGAGGCTGGAGCTGGCTCTGTATCTACTTTCAGAGGTGGAAAGCAAATTCTGAATAGAGCTGAACATCCAGCTGACTCCGGCTCAGGGCTTGGCATTTGTGCCAGAGCTGATGTTTGCTCTTGCTCCAATACTGGAGCCATTGATGGTGGCTCCATCACTAAAGGCAGTAGTAAAAATGGAGCTGGAACATGCTCTAAATCCAGAGTTGGCCTTTGTTCGGACTTTGCAGCAGGCTGGGGCTCTGGAGCTGGCACTGAAGAGGAAAAAGAGAAGAGTTCTACAATGTAACGGAGTTTCCATGTGTCTTTCCAAAAACAGGAAGGATCCTACTGCCTTTAAGGGAATACCCAGCGCATGAAGCCCACCCTGGATATTTTCCCAGACTGAAGTCCCCCTTACCCTCTTTTTCTGCCTCAGTGGGCCCTAGATGTTCCAAATGGACCATGGACAGTGGGTCACAGCACTTCAGGTCTAAGCCAGGCAAGCTGGCGTGTATGTATGCCACCATCAGTTTTAACCAAGGATGGTGCAGGGTCTGCCAGTCCTCCTGTAAGTATTGATCTTTCCAGCTGTGCAGCATGGGCGAGAGGGCCCTGGGGGAAGTCATGTGTGGAACAGAGTCAGAGGCCCGTCCTTTTTTTCCACACCATGCTTCCACATCCCCCTCCTTGTGTCTGGGCACCAAAGGATGGCCCCACCTCACCCCCAAACACTCTGTGGCCATGTTTTACAATGGAAGGCATGGTCAGGGGCACATCTAAAGAGAGTCTTGTGAGGCCCATCCTTCCACTGACACTTGTCTCCCAAAGGGCCTGGGCATGGCCTACCCCATCTTCCATGCACATGAGCATTAGGACTGAGGTTTATGGCATATTTGTGAGCAGGCTGCTTACCACACCGATTATTCTGGGCCCCAGGGGTAGTGGTCAAGAGAGATGGATATGGACAGGGCAGGGAGCAGAAGATCGGACTGGAAACGATGAATCGCTCAGGGTCTGACTCAGCTTAGCCTCCCCTCTGCCTCCCAAGGCCTTAGGACCCTATCCACAGCTCTCTGACTCATTTTCTCAGGCGGTGGAAGCCCTCAGACCTCAGCCCTCCATGGGAATCAAACATGTGTGAGATCGGGGTACTACCAGTCCCTCCCCAGGGACTCCCTTACTATCCCATTCTGCTTCTAGGCCCAAGGACTACTCACCTTTTCAGTGGTTCTTCTGTTCCTTCCTCCACGTCTGAACATGGGAAGGAGCGTCTGTATCTACAGGAGGTCATGACGGCATCACATCTAATGTACTGGGAACACAACGGCTTATGACATCTAGTGTGACTCTCTGACTCTCAGACTAGAATTGAGGCCCAAGGATTGAGTCTGCTTCAGCCGTTGCATTATCTTAGTGTCTACAAAATGTCTGCATGTGTTTAATATGTATTGTTGAATGCATGAATCTCAACCAGAACCTTCCCACACATCTGAGTGGGACTGGAGCTCCTCTTCCTGCCCTCAGAGAGACCTCATCTGGCTACACCAAAGACACGGACCAGGAATAGCTGGATGGAATCTCAAAATTTCTTTGCAGTTGGGAAACTGGGTTGCTTTCCATGTGCTTTCCAAGCTCACAGAAAACACAGGCCAGGGAAGGGCAAGGCAGAGAACTCTTTCACTAGGGACAGAGAAATAACAAACATGAAGATGCCCAGCATGTCCAGCAGTCCTATCTGCAGAGCAACGTACCAGGTAAGCACCTACCATGGGCTTATTATCCCATGATTGCCTACAATAACTCTGTCATGTTTATTCTTTTCCCACCCTACTTCTCAGAAGAGCAAAGTGCAGTGCAGAGAGGTATGTTGACATTCCCCAGACACACAGTTAGTAGGCAGGAGACTCACCATAATGCTATGGAGGGAGCAGGCACTCACCTTTTAAAAAAATGGCCCAGGATCTGTTGGGAGCTGGTGAAGGCCTGGTAGGGGTCCAGGAATGTGGTGATGTAGGAGATGTTTTCACTTGGGTATGCTGGTACCAGGGACTCTAACATTTGAATTGTGCCTTCCTGGAGCGTCCGCATTGTGCAGGCCTCATCCAGGCACAGTGTGGACTCCTTTTCACACTGGTGGACAAGAGGAACATATAATCAGCAGCATCACCATGAGCCACCAGGAACATCAGGGTCTGGAGCTCAGGCTGGAAAGTCCCACCACCTCATGAACTAGTGCAAGAAGAGGGACCTGAGTGCCTATACCATAAAATGTTCTAGGCTTTAAAAGTGCATTTTGCATATGATCTCACTCATATGTGGAATTTCAGAAAGAAAACAGGTGAACATATGGGAAGGGGGGGTGAAAGGAGAGAGGGAAACAAACCATAAAAGACTCTTAACGATAGAGAACAAACTGAGGGTTGATGGAGGGAGGTGGGGGGGGGGGATGGGCTAGATGGGTGATGGATATTAAGGAGGGCACTTGTTGTGATGAGCACTGGGTGTTGTATGGAAGTGATGAACCACCGAATTCCACTCCAGAAACCAATATTGCACTGTATGTTAACTAAATACAATTTAAATTAAAAAAGGAAAGTTTTTAAATAAAATAAATAAATAAAAGTACATTTTTATTTGGGGGAATGATAAATAATTGATACCTCCAAGGCATTTTGTTAGCTGAAAACCATAGCACCTCTCTGTATTAACATCCCATATTAAGAGGATTATCCCAGTGAGTCATCAACAAACTTGCCCACTGTAGATACTGGGAAAGAGAGGATTAGGGATTTCATATGGTTGCTCAAGATCATGCACATCAGAACGGAGAACCATTTAAAGATAGGCTGCATGACATTCCCACTAAATTACCTGAGGCTTGGTCAGCTCCTGACAGCGACAGGAAGGATATGGAGTAGCCACATTCCTGGAATGGTCTCGGGTAGTTGCCAGATATGAGTCCGGGTTCTGGGCCCACCCCAGTCCCGGCTGTGGTAACCTGTAACCTCCTCTGTGCCTACACTTACCCAAGACCAATGTCGGCCCTTCTTGGTGTCCCGGTGCATCTGCCCCTTGTCTAGGGAGATGGAGTAGTTGAACCCATCAGCCAGCTCCTCGATGATCTCCTGGTTTGAGTTCTGCAAAGACAGTGCCTAATAGCTTGGCCAGGAGGAATAAAGGACACGTCTGGACATTGCCACTGGGGGATACTCTCAAGAGAAAATCTGTTCCACCCTTGGGGCAGAGTAGGGCATCTGCAAAGAACTCTACCCAGAGAGGAAACAAGATAAAACCTGTAGCGCTCAGGATTAACATGGGTAGAAGAACTCACCTTCTCATGCACCAGCCGTGACCGAGGTATAAACACGAAAGACCCACCAGGCTTCCAACACCTAACAATCAGCTTCTGCCCAGGAAGGACTCAACCCTGAGTCCTGCCTCCTCTGTCCCAACACAGACACACAGACACACACACACAAAGACACACACACACGATGAGGGACGAGAGGTGCGGCGCTGCTCAGGTGGAATCACAATTTTGTCCCAGCCTGAATTGGCCTGCCTTGGGCTCTTTTGTGTTACCTTTCGGTGCCTTCTCCAAAATGACCGGATGCGTCGGGACTGATGGCTGAGCCAGTGTCTACAGCGACTAAAAAGATTCTCACTCTGAGCTTTCTTGAGCCCAGATCTTCTGCTACCAGAGAAACAACATTGAAACATCTTGCTCTCCTGACTGTCTCCAGTCAAGTGAGCTGGATAGGGGCTATCTCTAGAATGTAGGTCCTTGGTTACCACAGTTCTAAGTTCTGTTGAGGTCTATGACCACAAAGAAGTGAGGTCACTTTTTGAAGATTCTGTTACCCGGGCCCCTCCTTTCAATCAGACTTATCCAAAGTGCCCTATGGGCTGTTCACTGCTCCTCCTCTTCCCCCATGCCAACTGCTTAACCACACAAAATTAGTCAAAACATCCCTCTTCACACATCCCTGAAAATGTAATGAAGATCCTAGCTTTGAGAAGACAGAGCTGAATCTGGGCCTCCTTTTTCTTACCTATTCTTTGCCCTGGGAAAATCACTGTGCCTCTCAGGTCTTCCCCAGTCTCCAAACCTTCACAAAGGGGATGAGGCTAGAACCTACTTCCTAGGGACCTCAACAGTTGTATCTGAGATAATATCTCTTACACCTGGGGGATGGTGTCATATGTATCTATGACACAATTTAGTGATTGAAGAATTACAAGAAGGGGTTGGAACACCACTCAAAGCAGACCTGGGTTCCAGCAGTATAGTATTGAAAAAGTCACTTCCAACTTTGCCTCATTTTCAGGTCAGAGCCACGGGCGGGGGGGGGGGGGGGCGGGGGGGGGAGATGAAATTAATGTAAATTCAGATATTGTTATCCTCTGGCGTAAAATTGTTCCATTGTCTCCTGTTATATTTAGAATAAGACCCGGGGCGCCTGGGTGGCTCAGTCGTTAAGCGTCTGCCTTCGGCTCAGGTCATGATCCCAGGGTCCTGGGATCGAGCCCCGCATCGGGCTCCCTGCCCCGCGGGAAGCCTGCTTCTCCCTCTCCCACTCCCCCTGCTTGTGTTCCCTCTCTCGCTGTGTCTCTCTCCGTAAAATAAATAAAAAATGTTAAAAAAAAAAAAAGGATAAGACCCATGATCGTCATCACAGCTTATGGGGTGGACTGCCTCCACAATGGTTTTCAGTGATCCCCACCCCTGGTATACACATCCCGGTGTAACCACTAAGCATTTAGAAACTGGGCTTTGACCAACAGAATATGGCCAACGTGATGGGATGTCTAAATTTGAGACAAAATGCCAAAAACACTCTCTTTCCTCTCACTCCATCGCTTGTGTTTCCTCTCTCTCTGGCACGCGCTCTCTCTCTCCCTCTCTCTCTCTGACTTGCTCTCTTTGTCATATCCCCAGGGAATCAGGCCCTGATGCTTTGAGCTGCCCCGTTAGAGGCTCACATAGAAGAGAAACAAGGGAGTGCCCAAGCTGACAGATGGGAAAGAACTCAGTCTCTCTGTTGAAACTGCATTGTGAGTTCTGTGAGTGAACTTGGGAGCAAATCCTCCACAGTCCAGCCTTAGATGAGGCTACAGCCCCAACCTTGTGATACATCCTGAGGCAGAGACACAGGTGGTGTCATGCCTGGACAGCTGGTCCACACAAATGGTGAGATATTAAATATTTGTAGCTTTAAAATGCAAGGTATTGGGGCAATGTAGTCAGAGAGGAAATGATAACTAACACAGTCCACGAGGCCCCAGAATCTGGCCCTGCCCACATTGCCCACCCCCTCTCTCCTCCAAGGCTCCCTCCAGCCACACTGGCCACTTTTCTAACCTCTTCTGATCAAACCCACTTTTGCCTGTGAGTCTCTGTCTCAGTGGTGCCTTCTCCCTGACACACGGCGCCAAGACTTGTGCAGAGTGGCTTCCTCTTGTCATTTGGGTATCGGCAATGTCACCCCAGTGAGGCCTTTCAGACCCTGCACAGTCCTCCCTCACAGGATCCCACTTTGTTTTCACCACCACACTTGCTCTTTCTTTTTTCACGTCTACGTTTTGGTGCTTTTGTCTATCTCCCCCCGAGACTGTGAACTCCTGGCAGGCAGGGACCACTGCCCACCAGCGCTCCTTAGCAAAGCGTGAGTGCTTGGTGCATAGTTGCTGAAGGAATAAACGGGAAGATCTTGTACCCCTCCTCGTGTTTTTGAGCACTCAGATAGTGGAGATGAATGCTAGTAATAGGAGATGCAAGTTGTTTCTGGGGCAGGGGGACAGCGAAAAAGACCTCTGTATGACTCTTGGATGCTCCAGTAGCTCAAGAAATGTATAGTTGGTACTGTGTAAGTTTAAGGTGTACAGCATAATTACTGGTCATACATGTACTGTGTAATGAGTACCACATTAAGTTCAGTTAACATCCCCACCAAAAAATTATGTATTTCCTTGTCATGAGAAGTCCTAGGATTTATTCTCTTAGCGCCACTCAAGTATACTACACGGCAGTGTTAATTTATACAGTGCTTTATGTCAAATATCTCAATAAAACTGAAAACAGAAAAAACAAAACCTCAGTGGGCACCACTGACACAGGAGGCTACCTTCTTCCTGGAGGCTAGCAGCTGTACTGCACCCCAGGCAGGAACACTAGCAAACAAGACAGGAACCTTTATTTGAGTTTCTGCATGATAGAGGCTCTCCAGAGTCCCAGGGGTAAAGGAGAAGGACCTGCAGGCTTCCAGGGCTGTAGGAGGGGCTTTGAGAGACCCTCATGCTCCCCTATTTCTACCCCCCCTGCCCAACAAGTGTCCTCTTAACTCATGAGGCATCCTTTTCTCCCAATTTTTATTTAAGTTCTAGTTAGTTAACACATAGTGTAACATTGTTTTCAGGAGTAGATTTTAGTGATTCAACACTTATATTTAACACCCAGTGCTCAACATGACGTGTGCCCTCCTTAATGCCCACCACCCATCTAGCCCATCCCCCACCGACCTCCCTCCATCAAACCTCAGTCTGTTCTCTATCGTAAAGAGTCTCTTATGGGTTAGCCCAGTGATGGCTGTTAAGGAGGGCTCGTATTGCATGGAGCACTGGGTGTGGTGAGCAAATGATGAGTCATCGAGCATTACATGAAGAACTAATGAAGTACTGTGTGGCGGCTAACATAACGTAATAAAATAAAATAATAAAATAAAATTCTTCTTTAGTTTTTATTTTATATATACATTATATATATATATATATATATATATATATAACATATATGTATTCTCTTTTGTTTCCTTGCATTGTATTTTATTTTAACTTTGTATGTTTATGATATATATTTTTTTTTCTTTACTATTTTGGGATCTAAGTTCTTTTTTTTAAAGTTTTTATTTAAAAAATATATATATATTTTATTTATTTGTCAGAGAGAGAGAGCACAAGCAGGCAGAGGGAGTAGCAGGTTTCATGCTGTACCGGGAGCCCAAGGCGGGACTCAATGCCAATACCCGGGCATCATGACCTGAGCTGAAGGCAGACACTTAACCTACTGAGCCACTCAGATGTCCCAGGATCTGGGTTCTTTTAAGAAACAAGCCAAAATATACCCAGGGTCTAGTTTATTGTTTTGTTCTGTTTTACTCTTTGTTTGATTTTTTCTTTCTTATTTTGTTTTGTTTCCATTTTCTTCTAGTTTGTTTTGTCTGTATTTTTCTGTTGTTGTTGTTGTTCTTTTTGTCTTTTCTCTCTCTATCATCTATTCTTTTCTGGACATAATGATGAGCCAGAGAAGCTCCTCCAAAAAGAAAAAAACAGGAGGCAGTACTCACTGCCAAGGATTTAATCAATATGGATATAAGGAGGAGGTCAGAACTAGAATTCAAAACAATGATTATAAAGATACTAACTAGACTTGAAAAAAACAAAGGCGGTAGAGAATCTCTTACTGTAGGAATAAAAGAATGAAAATCTAATCAGGCTGAAATTACAAATGTTATTACTGAGATGTAGTAGAAAATGGAGGCTCAAAGTGTGGAAAGAGCCAAGATGTCCATCGACAGATGAATGGATAAAGAAGATGCGGTATATATATACAAAGGAATATTATGCAGCCATCAAAAGGAATAAGATCTTGCCATTTGCAACGACGTGGATGGAACTGGAGGATATTATGCTGAGCGAAATAAGTCAAACAGAGAAAGATGTGTATCATATGACCTCACCGCTATGAGGAATTCTTAATCTCAGGAAACAAACTGAGGGTTGCCAGAGTGCGGGGTGGTGTGGGAGGGATGTGGTGCCTGGGTGATAGACACTGGGGAGGGTATGTGCTCTGGTAAGCGCTGTGAATTGTGCAAGACTGTTGAATCTCAGATCTGTACCTCTGAAACAAAGAATGCAATATATCTTAAGAAAAAAAAAAAAGAAGAGGAAGATAGCAGGAGGGGAAGAATGACGGGGGGAAATCGGAGGGGGAGACGAACCATGAGAGAGGATGGACTCTGAAAAACAAACTGAGGGTTCTAGAGCGGAGGGCAAGGGGGAGGATGGGTTAGCCTGGTGATGGGTATTAAAGAGGGCACGTTCTGCATGGAGCATTGGGTGTTATGCACAAACAATGAATCATGGAACTCTACATCTAAAACTAATGATGTAATGTATGGTGATAAACATAACAATAAAAAATTTAAAAAAAATGGAGGCTCTAACTGCTAGGATAAATGAGGCAGAAGAGAGATTCCGTGATATATAAGACAAAGTGATGGAGAATAAGGAAGCTGAGAAAAAGAGAGAAAAACAACTACTGGATCATGAAGGGAGACTTGGAGAAATCAGTGTTACCATAAAGTGAAATAATATTCAAAGAATAGGGGTCCCAGAAGAAGAAGTGTGGGGAAAGGGGCAGAAGGT